TTGCCTCTATTGTATTGTTTCTTTGATTTTATTATTGAGCAATATCTACAGTAGAAAATTGAGGACTTTACTTTTGTTAAAAGTACTAGGGTAGTCTGTGTAAATTGTTAATAGTGGTAGGGTAGTATGTGTAATTCTTATTATTATTATAAGTTAACTATAAATACAATGATATATGAGAATTAGGTCAAGCTTTTGACCTCTCTCGGTTCCTCTTTAATATATTGTGTTAATCCTTTATACTTAACATGATATCAGAGCAATACGATTCTAAATACAAATATTAGCCTGTGTTTGTTTTGTGGAAATTACCTTGACTTGGTGACGTTACTGTTGAGGTGTTGTTGTTGGAGTTCCGGCGTTGTGGTGGTGTTACACAGTAGTTGTAATACACTGTGGCAGTGGTGGTGGTACTGCGTCTGTAGTGGAGATTTCGGCTGTGAGGCGTTGTCGATTTAGGTGTATGAGTCGATCGTGGTAGTGTGGCTGCTGGGTTTGTCGATCGTGGTGGTGTGACACTGTGGTGTGGCTACCGAGTCGATTGTTGACGTTGGTGGCTTCTACGTGGTTGCTGTGGTGTTGTGGTGGTGTGACGACGATCGAGGGTTTCTTTTGAAACGCTAGTCAGGCGAAGAAGACAAGGCCCATCGGGTCGGTTGCGGGTCAGTCAAATCGAACCGGGATTCAAACAGTCCAAACCCAAACAGATCCCAATTTCAGACCCAGCTATTTTAAACCCAATCAGATTGGGTCCAATTAGATCAAGCCCAGTCCACTGTGCAACCTGGACCAGGTCAATCCCGGTTTAGTTAGCCTTAGACCGATTCAAACCGGTTCAGTCAGTGGTGACTCCGGTTCAGCGGTCCAGCAACCTCCTGTGGCCCGGTTCAGTTAGGTTTTGCACTGGTTCAGACCGGTTCAGTCATCTTTCACTCCGGTTCATTGGTCTAGTGCACCTAGTCTGCCCGGTTCAGCCTTTAAAGTAGGCTTTTGGGGCCTGGTTCAGCTTCCAGCAGGTTTTTGGGGTCCGGTTAAGCCTTCCAGTAGGCTTTTGGGGTCCGGTTCAGCCCTTCAGCAGGCTTAGTAGGTCCAGTTCTGTCCGGTTATGTGTTCTAGCATTATAGCACCCCTTGTTTGCTATTTGCTGTACTGCTATGGAACCCAAGCAGAATATCGAGTCCCTTACTTCAGCTTTACCACCCACCTCTATCCCTTCGACTATTATCAATGGTCCCATGACTTCCGTTAAACTTAATGGGACTAATTATACTTTATGGTCTCGGTCTGCTCAAGTCTTTCTTCTTGGCAAAGGATTCAAGAAATATTTGGTGAATCCTAAACCCGAGGAAACTACTCTTGGATATGATCGGTGGGAATAAGAGGATGCTCAGATCATTTCCTTACTGTTGAATAGCATTGAGCCTAGTATTAGTTCTACTTTGCTCTACCTTGACACTGCCAAGGAGATATGGGATCACTTGACCACCATGTATTCTGGTATAAGTAATTTTACCCGTGCGTATGAGGTGTGCAAGGAGTACTTCCGGTTGGAGCAGGGTACTATGAACCTTGTGGATTATTACTCTCATGTTCGGGGAGTCTGTGAGGAGATGAAGACCTACCATCCGTTTACTACTGATGCAGCAGTTTGACAGAAGCAACATGAGGACCTGAATGTTGTTAGGTTTTTGGTAGGATTGAAACCTGAATATGAGGCTATTCATTCTCAGATTTTGGGTGGTTCTATTCTTGCATCACTGCTTGAGGTTTTCTCTCGTTTACAGCGTGCTACACTGTCTACTCCTTCAGGTATTGATCATGTGTCTCCACTAATCGCTCAGCTTTTGTGGTTCCTAGTAGCCATAGTAATGGTCATCGAGGTGGACGTGGTGGTCGTACGGGAGGTCACACGGGTGGTCGTGGGGGTCGTAGTGGATCTCGTTCTTGTACTCACTATGGTTGTGGAGGACACACTATTGACTTATGTTGGGATTTACATAGTAAATCTTCTGGTGCTGCTAATCAGGCTTCTTATTAGGATGATACCTCTGTTGTTGCTTCCATACCTCGGTCAGTTCTACCAGACACTGGATCGGTTACTATTACACTGGGTCGAGAGGAGTATGCCCAGTTCCTGTCCCAGCAACAGGCTGTTCTATCTCCCTCCATTTCTACTTTTGCCCAGTCAAGTACAACTTCCACTTGTTTATTGTCCTCCACCCGCAGTCCCTGGATCATAGACTCTGGCGTTTTTGACCACATGACTGGTGCGTCTGATGTTTTTCTACTTATCAGTCTGCTACTTCTGCACGTAGTGTTATTCTTGCTAATAATACTTTTTCTAAAGTTTCAGGTCTGGGGACTACTCTCTTGAGTCCTGATTTGTCCCTATCATCTGTGTTATTTGTTCCTCAGTTTCCTTTTAGTTTACTTTTCATTAGTAAGATTACCCGTTCTCTCAACTGTTCAGTAATATTTTATCCCTCTTATTGTGTCTTTCAGGATCTCAAGACGAAGAGGAAGATTGGTACGGGGTATGAAGCCGGTGGCCTATATTACTTTGATTTTGATTCACTTGCTCGGGTTTTACAGACCTCGTTATCTCCTTTTCAATGACATTGTTGTCTTGGACATCCCTCTCTCCAGAATCTGAAGTGCTAAGTTCTCAGTCTTAGTTGTGTGTCGTCTTTGTCTTGTGAAGCTTGTCAACTTAGTAAGCATCACCGTGTGTCATTTCAGTCTAGAGTCAATAATCGTGTGTCTAGTCCATTTGAGTTGGTACATTCTGATGTATGGGGTTTAATAAAGAATATTTTATCTAATAAATATCCTTATTTTATGTCTTTTGTGGATGACTATTCTCGTGTGACTTGGTTGTCTTTTATGAAAGCTCGGTCTGAATTATTCTCTATATTTGAGACCTTTCGTAAGGAAATAAAAACTCAGTAAGGTTGTCGTATACGTATTTTACGTTTTGATAATGTTCGGGAATATGAATCTGATCATTTTTCAACTTATCTTAGTAAAACTGACATTATTCATTAGACTTTCTGTGTTTACACATCTCCCCAGAACAGTGTTGCTGAACTCAAGAACCGTCATTTGTTGGAAGTCACCCGTGCCTTGTTATTCCAGATGAATATTCCCTGTTATTTTTGGAGTGATGCTGTTTTTTTTGCTTGTCACCTAATTAATTGTATGCCATCCTCTGTGTTAAATGGGCAAAGTTCATATTCTATCATTTTTCCTGATAAACCCTTATTTTTCCTAACTCTTAAGGTTTTTGGATGTGTCTGTTATGTTCACAATTTGGGTCTTGGGTTTGATAAACTTGATCCTCGAGCTACCAAATGTGTATTTCTTGGTTATTCCTGCACACAGAAGGGGTATCGTTGCTACAGTCCTTCTCTGCGACGATACTTTACTAGTGCCGATGCCACATTTGAGGAATCTGTTCCATATTTTTCAGCACCTCCTCAGCCTTTGGATCTGGACTTTGAGTTACCTCTTGTACCACTATCTCCTCCCTCATCTTCAGATATTCTGCTGTCTGCTGTGTTACCTTCTACTTTACCTCTTTGTGTATACTCTCGTCGTCCTCGACCATCGACTGAGGTGTCCGTACCGTCTTCCTTGTCGCCTTCTAATCCTGGCCCATCAGGTAATTTTGACTTTTTACCTATTGCTCTTCGAAAGGGTACTCGTTCGTGTGTTACCAATCATCTCATTGCTCATTTTATTTCATATGATGCCTTATCTCCTATTTTCTCTTGTTTTACCTCTCAATTATCTACTATATCTGTCCCTAAGCATTTACAGGCTGCTTTATCTGATCCGGGTTGGAGGAAAACTATGGAGGATGAGATGAATGTCTTACATCATAATGGGACTTGGGATCTCGTTCCTTTATCCCCTGGTAAACAAACTGTTGGTTGCCGTTGGGTGTACACTGTTAAATTTCACCCGGATGGTTCTGTAGAGCATCTCAAAGTCCGACTTGTTGCATAGGGTTTTACTCAGACCTATGGTGTTGATTATGAGGAGACTTTCTCCCCTGTTGCAAAAATTTTCTTTGTTCGTATCTTGATTTCTTTGGTTGTTAATCTTGATTGACCCTTGTTTCAGTTAGATGTCAAGAATGCCTTTTTACATGGTGACTTGGTTGAGGAGGTATACATGGAGCAGCCACCTGGGTTTACTGCTCAGGGGGAGTATGGTAAGAGTGTATGTCGGTTAAAGAAATCTTTGTATGGTTTGAAGCAGTCACTGAGGGCATGGTTTGGTAAGTTTTCAGATGCAGTTTTAGAGTTTGGTCTGTTTCGATGCCAGACAGACCATTTTGTGTTTCACAGGCAGACGGATGCTGGATATGTCCTATTGGTGATCTATGTAGATGATATTGTGATTACTGGAAATGATTCTGAGGGGATTGTCAAGTTGAAAATCTTCTTGCAAGATCGATTTCATACTAAGGATTTGGAAAAACTCAGATATTTCTTGGGAATTGAAGTGGTTCGATCTAAACAGGGTATTTGTTTATCACAGAGAAAATATGTACTTGACATGCTAGAGGAAGCAGGTTTGCTGGGTGGCAGACCGATTGATGTTCCTATGGATTCGAATCATAAATTATTGATGGATGATGGTGCATTATTTGAGAATCCGGGTCGGTATCGCAGATTGGTTGAGAAACTCAATTACCTAACTATTACTCGACCGGATATCTCTTATGCAGTAAGTATAGTAAGTCAGTTTATGGGGTGTCCTAGAGTACCACATTGGGAGGCCGTTATTCATATTCTGCGATATCTCAAACAAGCTCCTAGACTTGTACTGATATATCGAGCTAATGGACATCTTAGAGTGGAAGGTTTTTTAGATGCTGATTGGGCTGGCTCTCCTTCTGATCGGAGATCAACCACCGGTTATTATACCTTCCTTCTTAGGAGGTAACGTTGTCACATGAAAAAGTAAGAAACAATCTATGGTAGCAAGATCCAATGCTGAGGCTGAGTATAGGGCAATGGCGCATACGACGAGTGAGTTGACTTGACTACCACACTTCCTCCAGGAAATTGGGTTTTCAGTTCAACCTCCTTTACAGTTGTTCTGTGACAACTAGGCAGCTATCCATATCGCTGTCAATCCAGTGTTTCACAAAAGAACTAAACATATTGAGGTTGATTGTCACTTTATTTGGGACAAAATAGTAGCTGGGGAGATTACAACTCTATTTGTGAAATCTGAAGATCAGCTTGCAGATATGTTTACCAAAGCATTGAGCCGTACACGTCTTCCGGCGATTTATTCGAAGCTTGAATTATATGATATATATAGTCCAGTTTGAGGGGGAGTGTTAAAAGCATTAGGATAGTCTGTGTAAATTGTTAATAGTGGTAGGGTAGTATGTGTAATTCTTATTATCATTGTAAGTTAACTATAAATACAATGATATATGTGAACTAGGTCAAGCTTTTGACCTCTCTCTGTTCCTCTTCAATATATTGTGTTAATTCTTTACACTTTAACGACTTTTAATGTTTTGTGCTTGTTTGTTTGTTTTGTCGATTATCTGATCCTCACTGTAATCTATATCTGTCTTGTTCAGATCCTGAGTCTTGATTGGTCTTCTGGCATTGAAACATTGAAATGCGTTGACCGTGTAGACCTTACACTTAGTGGTTCTTTTGCCGATATGATTTTAACATCGAATGCTTCTGCAGCAGAGAGGAATGACACCATTTCACTGTTTGTATTGACCAATCCCGGGCAATTGCATTTTTATGACAATGCTTGCTTGTCTGACTTGAAGTCTGGCCCAGAGAAGAAGCATCATGTTCATGCTGTTGAATATCCTGTAGTCATACCTACTGTTGAACCAAACATGACTGTGGGAAAGCTCAGGTTGGTAAGCACAGAAGAGAGCTTTTCACGGGCTCTCACAGAGGTACTGAGCACCATGTAGCATTGCTGATCTGGAATATTCACTATGCTCCATCCATAGTTTTTGTTTCCTGCACTGTCCATCTATAATTTTATTTTTTTGCCTATTATATTAGACAGTATCGGCTGCAAAACTTCAAGATGCCATGACTACAAGGAGTACAAAGTGGCCTCTGACTGGAGGTATTCCCAGTCAGCTGTCTTTTGGGGAAGAGAATAGAATTGAGCGAATATACATAGCAGGCTACCAAGATGGGTCTGTCCGAGTATGGGATGCCACATTTCCAGTTCTGTCATTCATGTTTGTTTTAGGACATGAGGTTAGTAAAACATTGCACCCTGTCGAGTATTACCTTATAAAATGCTGTAAATGTATTATTGCGTTTTGCTTGAAAGTACTGAAAATAATTCACCATTTAGTTATAATGGGCAAATTGGTTCCTCATGGAACATCCAATATGTGACATGCAGGTGGAAGGTATCGAAATTGCTGGTGCAAGTTCATCAATATCAGCATTGGACTTTTCCTCCACCACTTTAAGTTTAGCTATTGGCAATGAAGGTGGTCTGGTAAGAATCAATTTTGTTTTGTCATTATGGCTATATTTTTCACGACAATAAATACCCATAATAATGTTCACATTGGTGATTGCTTTACCATTCTTGTTGGTTTAATGTAGGTTCGTATACACAGTTTATCTGGGAGTTTTGGTGGAATGAACTTTCAATTTGTAACAGAAGCCAAACGTGAAGGTGTGAATAACTTCTAATTGCTTGCCTGCCACTATCCTTGTTTTCCACTTTTTAATGTCAGAAGATCTGCATTTATAGAGTTGCTTAAAAGTTGAGTACACAGACAGGGACTGGAAATAGATGCAAGTTTGAGGATACATCAAAGAATTTATAGTTATCAGATAAAAGAGAGTGATAGGAATCTCAAGACATCCTTACTTTTTCACCTTTCTCCTTTTTTATGTTTTTCTTTCTTTAACTTGGGATGAGTGGCAACAAGGAAGATCGGAATAGATAAAAAAAGTAAGATTTTCTGATGAGCTAATCAATTAGTCAATTCCCCCTCCCCCGGGAGCTTTTATTCTCTCAATCCCTGTTTTTCCCCTTGGGAATTTTGGAAGGATTTGAATGGGATTAATATATGTACTCCAGTTGCAAGTTTTCAGCTATAAACCTAAAGTTTCAAGAGAGATTTCATTCATCTCATACGTAATTAACCCAATTGCACAACTACTATCATACCTGATAAAATGAGATTTATTGTTACTCCTTTTCTACTTTAGATGAATGTAGCAGTGTATGACTTTTTGGACACTTTACACTATTTTATTTTCTTAGTAAATGTTTGGAATGCTGTGGCTCAACCCTGATCCAGATTTTGACTGGATTAGTTTCAACTATCTAGCCTATGGCTTGGACGAAGGACGAATAAAAGTCCCACATCTACATAGATCTGCTAAGCAATTGTGCAATTTCGTATGTTGATCAACATGTGAGATACGGAAGGGTTGAAAATGATCCTTCGCAACCAAAAATTATGATAAAATCAGAAGAAATGATAAATCAGCTAGACCACCTTGAACGCATGATCAAAGGTTTTAATCAGATCTATTATATGTTATTACCATTACTTTATATCATCTATCTGAATTCTCCAAAGAAAGAATGTTTTTATGGTTAAAGTCTCTAGTACCCGATAAACTGTAGAGTACTTGTACTGTTCTATTCATTCACTGCAAATGGGAACTTCCTTTTCTGTCTCACTGGGCATATCTGTCATTGAGCCTCTGTGAATTTATTTTCTTGTTCTTTCCTCAATATGATTACCAGTGCATAGATTGTTTGCAGTTCACAAAGTCCCCCTTGAGCACAGACTTCAGTGTATAGCGGCATTTTCCATCCTTAAGTCTCCTGTACGCACCCTGCAATATTTGAATAATGGGGTCAGACTTGCTGTGGGATTTGAATGTGGTCAGGTAAGTGTCATCTAAATGGTTAACAATGACAGTTACCCTTATATTCACCTAGGTTGTGTTGTTGATTGGCAATGTGAGCTAAGTGATTGCCAAGTATTTACGTTTCAATTGTCCCATTACAGGTCGCAGTGCTTGATATAAGTACGTTGTCAGTTTTGTTTCTTACAGACTCTGTATCGGCTTCAAGTTCTGCAGTCATTTCTGTGGCTTTGAAAACATACCCAAATACAAGTAGCGACAATCTGAACCACCATGAAAAGGAAATGTTGAATGAATCTTCTTCCAGGGAGGTGGCTTTCATCTTGACCAGAGATGCACATATCATTGTTATGGATGGAATCACTGGGAATATGATCAGCTCTCAGCCAATGCACCCAAGGAAAGAGTCAACAGCAGTTTCCATGTATATTTTAGGTAAGTAATATTTTATTCAGTGAATAAATGTAGTATCGTTTGCTAACGATGATTTTACAGCTTCTGGATAATTTTGGGTATGCAGAGAGCAATGTTTCTAACACCAAAGCATTTGAAAAGCAATCACCAATCTCCTCTCAGGATGTTGAAGCTAAAAGTGAACTTGTGCAAACCAATTCTCAATATCAAAGTGATTCAACAGAGGTTGAATATGACACCTCTAGTGAAGCCAAATACTTGGGGCAGAGATATACGGACTCACTTATTTTACTTTGTTGTGAGGATGCATTGTGCCTATACTCCTCAAATTTTGTTATTCAGGTTACACCTTGTCTTACGCATTTTTGTTTTAACAGTCTTCTAATTGCTCTAGAATCTAAAGATAAATTTATATCTTTTAGGGGGAAAATAACTATATCCATAAGGTAAATCTTGCAAAACCATGTTGTTGGACCACAATCTTCAAGAAGGATGGAAAAGAATGTGGACTGGTTATGGTCTATCAGACTGGAGTGATTGAAATAAGGTGAAGTGCTTACCTTTTCTTTGGCACTGAGTAATAGGCTTTACGAAATATGATTTGTCGATGACTAGATGATATATACTGCTATAGGCGGAGTAACATGATGCAGCTCAAACGCTTCTGGCATTAATTTTGTTTTTCTCTTGATGGTCAAATTTTTTAAGCAGCTGTAATATCTTGTTTCCCATTTTAAAGATATGTTTACCCAAATTGGCTGTGATTTCATTTTTGTACAGGTCTTTGCCATATCTTGAAGTGGTAGGAGAAACCTCATTAATGGCAACAATGAGATGGAATTTCAAGACTAATATGGACAAGATGATGAGTTCTTCCGATAAGGGGCAGATTACACTGGTTAGTGTTTTACTCGCTTATGTTCAGTGACCACTACTTACCTTCTCCATGTTGTGTGTAGCTCCTCTGTATAGCTGTTATTGATCTGCATTATGCTGTGATCTATATTCTCTTGACTTTTTCCACAGGTATTAAAATCTCTGTCGGGGTTCAACTAGAAATAGTTCACATATATTGAACTTCAACCAAGTTCTAAATCTCATTCATGTTGTATTGTTGTAAAGTTTCACTAGTTTTTTCACCTTCATTTTCATTGTGAAAGTTTCTTTTCACAACAGCATATGCTAATGTTTAGAATGTGGATGCATTTAATCACTTGATCTAATCAATGTAATTTCCGGACATGTAGTTCACACTTATGGGTTTGAATTGATGATACATGGAGTATATGCCAATGTGCATGATTTTTCACATTATTTATGGTTTTATCAATATTTTGTATCATATATGCTCTATGTACCTTCAACTTATAGTTTTTTGTGAACAGTATAAAACTTGAGGATGTTGTAATTTTGTAGGTAAATGGTTGTGAGTTTGCTTTTATATCTCTTTTGGCCTTTGAAAATGACTTCAGGTCTCTCTCTCTCTCTCTCTCTCTCTCTCTACAATTGTGTTGCTTTGGACTTCTGAACCATAATCAATGGCTTATTTTAGGATTCCAGAGGCGTTGCCTTGTCTCCATGATAGAGTTCTTGCAGCTGCTCCAGATGCTGCAGTTAGTCTCTCTCAAAGTCAAAAGAAAAAACAGGTTTCAATTTGTGATATTGGGCTCGTAATTTTCTCTTTTTCTGGAACAGTTAGAGATGCTTGTTTTTTCTTGCCAGAGTACTGCCCCTGGGATCATTGGTGGTATCATTAAAGGATTCAAAGGGGGTAAAGTGGAACAGGGTGTGAATCTTGCTGAAGCTCGTGAAATCACTATTGCACATTTAGAGGGCATATTTTCTAGGTTCCTGTTCTCAGACCCTTTTAAAAGCATAGGAGATGACCAAAAAGCTGTGGAACTTAATATAGGTTCCTACTTCTTCCTCTCGCCTTCTTCCCACCTTCCTCCCCTACCCCCAATCCTCATTTTTTCCATCCCTTGCTCCCCTTTAACAGGTTAATCTTCTGTTCCAGATGACATTGCAATTGATGAACCTGTTCCTGTTACATCTTCGTTTGTCAAGAGCAATAACAATAAGACAGGTATATTATTTTTTTTTTTTGCCAAGGGTTTTTAAAATTTGACGGGCTTACAACATTTTCATTCTGCTGCTGCAGACAAGGAAAAAGAGAGGGAAAGATTATTTGAAGGTGGCTCTACCGATACAAAACCAAAACTTAGAACACGTGAAGAAATAATTGCTAAATACAGAAAGGCTGGGGTAATTGTTTTTTTTGAAATAACTAGTAAATTAAGAAATATATAGAGAGATTATGGGCATTGAATTGTCTGACACTTTCACGCGTTCACATCTTCCAGGATACCTCCTCTGTCGCTGCACATGCAAGAGACAAACTTGTAGAGCGCCAGGAAAAACTTGAGGTAGGCCAAGTTATCCTCTAGTGCATTGAGATTCCTTCTTAACTCGTTACCTTTTTTCCTGCTGAAGGTTGAACGAATATTAGTGAGAAAAAATTAAATCATCTTGTTTCAATAGCTGTGCGAGTTCCATGACCTGGATAGAAGTAGGTGACTAGTGTTTCGGGTTTAGGCAATGACAGTTGGAGTTTCATCTTCTAGAAACTGTCAGTATCGTGGGATGTGAGGATAAATATCACATAATACTTGCAGACTGATGTATCAAGTATTTTGGAACAAAACAATGCAGCAAGATTCTATAGTTGGTTGCTGAAAGGCTCTTGTTTGTCCAATCAATGTGTCTTTGATTGGCAGATACCCATTATAGCACTTATTGTGGTTGGGCCCTTTTCGATTTCAGTTAATTGCCTGTCCCACAACCTGGAGGAAAGCACGGACACTCTCGAGAGGTGACGTATCCATGTCAGACACCGACACTCTTCGGACATGCTGATACTCTTTTATCCTTGTCCATAATTAAATGATAAAATTTTAATTTCGGACACGTGTCAAATATTTCTTTGGTGAAGTGTCCGACACTTCTTTAGAGCGTATCTACTTCTAAATAATAAACATGTGTTAAAATGTGATTAACGGAGTTTTAAATTTTAAAAACATATAATTACTAACACTAGTCATGTTAAAGTTGTACTCCAAATATAATGATAAAAACAAAAGATGCATAAAAGTTTAAAAAAAGAAGAATTGAGAAAATGAGAGTAATTATTTAAATTATATATTAGGTACGTGTCTACAAAAAAAATTTAATGATTATTGACTATTATAATAATGTTTTAGTCTAAACACTCACACAGATGACTATACATAAGATTTATTTATCATAAAATATTGAATATTTTATAAATTGCATATCATTATCACCATATTTATGATAAATTATATAATATTATATATAAAATATGATTTTTTGTAGCATATCCTGTTTCCTTTTTTTTTCGAAAAATATCGTGTCTATTTGTCCGTGTCATCATATATCCCCGTGTCCCATGTCTGTGTCCATGATTCTTAGTGGAGGACTATTATCTATATTTGCTTTTAATGATGTAGTAGATTTTCCATCTCAATTATACGTCATAAATCTCCCGGGGGGGGGGGGGGGGGGGCGTGTGCATATTTGGTCATTTTAACTACTGAAAGATGTGAGTTCTAGTAAGATTAATAGGTTGGTCTTGTAGTATTTGGTTCCTGTGGGAGCATAATAATGTGTAATCTGTGGTATAAATGCAGAAAAACAATTGAATTTAAAAGGACTCTTCATATATGCATTTGCCTTATAAACCCAGGCAGTTGATGAAATTTTTGTGCTCTTCAAATTCAGTTTCCCGTAAATGTGTTTTTCTTCCTGTTGCTGCCAGAACATCAGCAGGCGCACTGCAGAGCTACAAAGTGGGGCTGAGAATTTTGCATCAATGGCTGATGAGCTTGTCAAGACAATGCAAAACCGGAAATGGTGGCATATATGACATGAAGTTGGCGTTAGTTTCAAGTGCTTGGATTGGCTGATATGGTCCACTCGACCTTGATAATGCAAGTAAGCCTTCTAGGTTGTTATTTAACATTTAATTATAGATTCTACTGTCATTCTGATGCAGAAAATCCATACACCATTCATTTGTCAGGGTATTTAGATTTGTACTTATTGTCTAACCCCAGTTAGTGTAAAATCTTAATAGTAAATCTTAGTTGAAAGAATTAGCAAAATCCAATTGTTTAAGCATATTGGTATCAAAACATCAATACATAGTTCATATACTATGTCCTTTTTTTTTGGTGGTTTTACATTTGTTTCTACTTGCTTGCCCTCTGTTTCATTGACTGGTAATAACTTTGTGGGATTGACCAAGCGATGTATGCTGATATGGTTGAAGGAGAGGCCGAGCTGCTTCAAAGTCAAGGACAAGTTTTTCAGTAATACTACTTGGACCTAATTTGCTGAACTAGTCCATACTTGCCATTGAATTGATAGTCCATTCCATTCAACATAGGGATCCATTATTCACCCGACGGTATCAGTAAATAATTAAGTCACCAAATTACGTCTTAGTATCATTATTTTGAGCAGTATGTACTAGCTTGAAGGGGTACAAATCAGGTTCTATTTGTTTTATTCATCTCCTCAACCATGTGATACACAAGGCTAATGGTGTGTGAGCGCCTTGTGTAGGCGGCTAGATCTGTCCTGTTGTCTGTTTTGACCTGATCAACGCTGACGGGTTCAAATGAGATAGCAATGGTTCAACCTTCTCCACTAAAGTAAACTTTTTCCCCCTCAATTTGAGAGGCAAGTATCTAACCTTCAATTTCAGTTCTATTTGATCCTTACGATTGCAATTACTTAAGCAAAGATCATCATCTCGACCAGTTGACGGTGTTAAGTTCAAGTATTCTCCCCTTTTTTCACGGTCAGAAAATTTACGTAAAAATTGCAAACTAGTTTGCTCGTCTATAATTTTTTTTTTTTCTGGAAAATAGAATAGATGTCCTTGAATTTTGACACGAGTTTCAATTTGCCCTGTTAACTTTTAATTTTCTGAATTTAATTTTTAAACTATGTGAATCGTAGCAATCAGCTCCTTTCGTTCATTCCTGCCATTGTAACACACGGAAAAACCTTGAAAAATAAAATTTAATGGGACAAATTGAGACAAGTGTTTGTTTGTTTTTGTTTATGGAAGAATGAATTTATTGTTACGATTTATTATATAGTTTTGAGGATGAAATTGAGACAAATAAATAAAAAAGAGGGAATTTTAACACTAGGAGCATAGTTTGGAGATCTATAATGGTTATCTTTTTCTTTTCTTTCCGGATTAAAAAAAAAAAACTCTAGTTTTGAAGATTTTGCGTGATTAAATATAACAGGAATGTTATGCTGACTACATTTGTGCACCAAAATTTTGTACTAAATGATGTGGCAATATCACATTTATTGAATGTGTTGTGGATGTTGTGGGATCTATCAATCTGACAGCCCATGGTGCATAAATTTGGTCACCAACATTATTGTATTTATAGATATGTTCAAACTCTTAGGGTGGTTCAGTAGTTGAGTTTTGTTTTTTGGTAACCTAGAGATCTTAGGTTTAATTTTTTTTTCCACATCTTTTATGGGTTATTAACTCTTATCCCTTTGTGAACATGTTTTAAACCAATTCAAGTCTCGGTTGTCAGCCATTGAGTTTAAGAGAGTATTCAGCATAAATCTGGACACGCTCTAGCGAAAAGAAAAAAATAGATACGTTCATATTGAGAGTCTGAAGTAGCAGTCATACAATTTAATGAGATGAGTAATGTTATTTAAACTTAAAATGTTTAAATAATGATGTAGTTTATTGAATTAATATCAAGTTTAATTAATATTGAATTAATATCAAATTTTAATATTTGTTGAGGTTTATAATTAATTCAATGATTATAATAAAAAATGTCAACTAATTATCGGCTGCTACGGCTTGGACGGACTGTGGATGAAAAACGTGGACTTATCAGCTGCCGACCCATGATGGTCATATGGACCCCAGGTCGAGTCCGGTGGATTTGGTCAGCCGGCTGTTGTGTATTGCATGTGTTTTGGTCATATCCACGTTTCCTGCGCCTCTAAACACTTTTGTTACTCTGGTGAAGTAGTCGTAATTGAACAATTAAATAAGTCAATTTCTCTTCTCAATCTAAATTATATCCTAGGTTAGCCTTAAGTCTCTCAACCGTGTTGGGTATCAATGAGTTTGTGTAAAAAATATTTTATTTATATTAAATTTGTATATTAATTTATATCTAATATATTGTATTATATTAAATTCGTATCGTATATATTTTTTGATTGATTTCACACATGTTCGATTTGTTTATTAATTATGTTGTGTTAAGTTTGTTCATTTATGAATCTGATGGTTTAAGAAAAATCTAAACTTTCTAAATTCGTGTCGTGTCATGTTATATTTTTGACACCTTTACACAAATAATTTATTTTTGATTTTTTTTTGGCATAAGAGAAGATAAGTGTAACGCCCCAAAATTCACCCTGAAAGACATTACTATCTATAACCATTCATACCATGAGCAATTAATAAAATCCATAATTAAACAAAATTTCATTCGTCATCTTAACAACTAAAACATCATCCAAAATCAGTATGCTAAACTATGATAATTACATTCAAAAACTAAATATTATTTTGCAGCGGAATAAATAAAATATTATCTTTAATATTGTCTCATAATTAACCTCCCAGTCTAGAACATAAAGGAAACAACTTTAAACATTCATCTCAGGATTCATGTTCCCATCAATTTAAGCTTTCCAATGTACTTGCTCATCAAATTCGAGCTGTTTCTCTAAACCATAATCTGAAAAAAGATGTTATTTGTAGGGAGCGAGAACTAAGCTCTGTAGGAAAATCCTCCCATGCTCAAACAAAGCTTTGAAAACATATAAAACAGATCTGTCTTATTTTACAAAATATCATTTATAATTTTGAAATAAAACAATGACAGTTCATTAGATCTCAAGTTTACGTAGTAATAATAAATTAAATGAAAAAATAAAATCAACATGATCACGTTTTCATCCATTTAATCTTTTCATTACCAATATTGTATCTCAGGTATGTAGTAAGACTTAATATGAATACACACATTAAGAATATCTTAGTTCACACACACTCAATTCTTGCTAAAATACACAATCTTAAGAAGGGCGTATACCGATGCATCGACAGTGACGAATTCAACCTAGAAATAGTATATTAGCCCTCAACCTCGATACCTGTGAGCGAATAGTGCTTTGGTCCTCGCAAGACACCAACCCCACTACGAGTGGTAGGGAACCTTCAAACCCACTCGAAGGAAAAAACACATCTATCCACTCTACGATACCCGGTCAACGGTTACTCATGTTCATCACAACATCCACACAAAAAATACAATACCAAACCAGTTCACCAAATCACAGGTAAATCAAGAATCATAATTTCACAGGTAACCAACAACCATAATTCCACAAGTATTTTTTCAACATAACAACTCAAGAAATATATACAAGAAATCATCAAGAAATATAATTTTATTGTTGCAACAAAACACTAGAGTTTTTAAATCAAGAACAATAGAATCTCAAAGTAAAAAACTAATATTTCTTGAAAATTAGAGTTTTGATAACAAGAATGAGAATATTTATGAATATCAAATGATAAATTTATTCAAGACATGATATGATTTGTAAAAAAATCAAGAAACAATGGTTTCATAACATATATATATATATATATATATATATATATATATATATATATATATATATATATATATTGTTCATTGAGGTTAGGGTTTATATATATGTATGTTTTAATTCTAAATTTTACATATATATATATATACCCTAACCTCAATAAACAAGTTTAGGAAGAAACCCCTACCTTGATTCTTGAATTTTGATCTTAATATGTTTCGTTGCGATTACCCCACATTAATCCTTTCAGATTTATCCCGTTCTTGCTCTTTTTCTTCTTCTCAAACTTTTCTAGGTATCTTGGAGTTGAAAAATATATAAAGACTCTTTAGATCACAGCACTAGGGTATTTATAGGCTGAAAAATAGAGAATTTTTGTGTGGGCGCGGGTGGAAGTCTGCCTCTGACTTCCAGCTCAATTTTGACCTAATTAAAGATCGATTCACAAAATTTTTGTGAAATACAATTTTGTAGCCCTTGAAATGTAGTTTCTACAGTACAAATTTCAGATCAATCGGATATCCAGATAAAATATTATAACTAAAATACTAAGGTTATGTCAAATTCTTTTCTACTCAAATCCTCTCTAAAATAGGTTTTAACTCTAAAATACTCCTAATACAACTCATATAACATCTTTCAATATTTTCGACCATAAAGATTCAATAGAAATCTTATTTTAACCTAAAAATATTTATAAAATTATTTTGCTACCCTTTTCAAATTTAAATATCTCCAAAACTCAATTTACTCCTAAAGTCAAATACGTTTGAAACTTAAATTTCATAATCAATATTTTAACAATTATTCAAAGTTTTTATTATTATTTTATTCGTATTAGAAGAGCTTTTAAGTTAATATTATATTTATTTAATTTTAATACGAGATCTTACAATAAGGTTGTATATGTTTGATCCAACTTAGACCTTTAACTAAGCAACATTTTAACCCTTATAAATGGTTCAATGGTTATTTGATAACCAAGAGACCTTAAGTTCAATTCCTTTCAACACCTTCTAAGGACTAGTAATTTTTGATCCTTTATGGACATGTTTAATCCAGCTCAAGTCACAGTAATTGACTTCTTAAGTGAGTAATCGGCGCAAGTCTTAGCAAAAGAAAATTAAGCAACACTTTGAAGATGGAGTTTGCCGAACACATAAATGGGGGCAATATCTCTAAGTTGACCCTAATATTTCAGTCATTAATTCTGAAAACAAACTAACAATCGGGAGCCCCTATCAATTTAATATTGAATATATTTGTATAGGGTAGAGTATAATTGTGGTCTCAGCCTGATTGTATATACGAGTTTTTTTTTTTTAAATTTATAATTCTAGATTTTTCTTGGAAAGTACGGTTACAGATTATCATTACGACAAACTAAGAAACAAGTAAAGATGAATTTTCAAAGTGGACCAAACATTTTCTTCTTGATCCCTTCAAAGTAATCCAGACAGAAAACTTCAAGGTTTTGAGTAAAAGTTTATTATTTGAGTAATGTTACTTGGATTTAAAAAGTGGATTTAAAATATATATTTAATAATCAAAAACATAAATTTTTTTGCGGGTCTTAGTATTTATTGAGATTCACTCTACTTATTTAATGATTGTGATTATTAAATATATATTTTAAGTCTATTTTTTTAGATTCACTTACTATATTTGGGGTTAAATTTTATTATTTTTTGGGATTGTTTTATATTTTTTGATACGGTACTAAAAAAATAAAATTAGGTAGGGTATGTATAGAACACCGTTTTTGCACGGGTGAATTTTTGCAATGAATAAAGATAACGACCTGCTGGATGAACCTGAAACAATCAAAGTATTAGGAAAGGGGCCGGGTGAATACCCTGCTAATCTCCTCCGAAACTTAATTCAGTCGACGTTAGAGACATGAGCACAGTGTATTTTTCTGGGATGTTTTGCATACATTTGTTCATCCTTTTGGGGGTATTTAAATCTGGATTAGTAATAAGTGTAGGAGTTTTGAGTCTCATCTCAACATTTAATGACACGCATTATTATCTATGCATAATGAGTGTTCTCCTCTCAGATTCTCACAAGACTGATTCAATCGGGCGATCAGATGATAACTCGGGGCACGCCGAGCATTTATGGCCATATCCTTGATTATTAAATACATCTTATCAGTGCTTGTCACCTATTTTCGGGTGTTTACTATTCGGGAATAAGGACTTCGGGGTTTTTCGAGAGCATTGGGTCGACGCAATAGTCATTAATGCATTGTAATAATGACTATTTTTGTGAATCTCGAGAACATAGAGATTTATTAATAGTCCAGTCACAGTCACTCAGGTCGTTATTAATGAACAATCATATCCTTTTTAATACTGAGTTCAATCGGTATATGCTCGACTCCTTTGAATCGTTACTCATCGACTCCTTCTCTTGGTAGCCTTTTAGATCTATAACGATTATAATTATCCACGTATCAAGTTAAGGCTGCTAAACCGCCTACAGTGACGTCAGTTTCCATTGATTATAACCACCCAATTCTTCCAAGAAAAGTCTTTTTCTCTCCTGTTTTTTCTTGGTCGGTTGCCCTCCTCATTGGCTCACCCTCCGTAGAAGTTGTGTTAATCACTTCTCGCATTGCCTCCATATATCAGAGGAGATTTTCATTGGGTTCACCAAACTATTTTTAATAATATCAGGTGATGTATAAAATTAATAAAATAATAAATTCCAAAAATTATTATTAACTCATCAATTTGCTAATATTTTTTTAAAAAAAAACTTAACTTATGTGTCTTACATAAATACTAAATAGTGATTGATCAAAGTGGGTATCCACTTTTTGGGACTAAAAAGGTGGTACAAATTGTTTGCGCCAAACTTTGTGGTCGTGGTCGTCGATACACTTCTTTTTCCTTTCGTGAAGCGAGGGTCCCACACGTGTGGAAGTGGGAATCGGAATTCTGAGAGAGGCCTTGGTCAGACTTGGCTCTCCCAGTCTGTGGTCAAAATTCCATGTGTTTTCATGTAAATTAATTCAAACGCTGTACGATGATGTGAATCCATTGTTTTGATGTATGAAAAAAGTTTCACTAGATTAACCTAAAGAAAAGGAGGTGCCCACCGTAACCCAAAAAAAAAAAAATATTTCGACGTCATATTGATATTTATTTTTTTATTATTATAATATTTTAAAAAATGATAAAAATAATTATTATAATAGTGATAAAAATATTTACAATAGTGATAAATTATTTATAAAAATTATAAATATTTTCGTTATAAAAATATTCACAAAAATTATAAAAATACTTACAAAAATAATAAATTTTTGAGGTACAGAATTAAATATTTTTATTCGATACTGTAGTCAAGTCTTAAAAAAAAAAAAAAAGGCTGGTCCCATGGTAAGTGTGTTTTGAATTTGGTTCATAAATAAAACGTTCGAGTCTTATCCGTTCTCTTCCTTTATATATTATGAGAGATTATTGTATGATATAAAAAAAAATTATAATCATAGATTTTTAATTTATTTTTATGTAATTATAAATTATAAAAATAAGCTAATTTTACATCCACCACTTTTTTATTGAATACGAAAAGAAATATCATTAGAAAAATAATATTTGGGTAATATATAGTTAATTTAACATTCATGAGTGATTTAGTGGCCGAGTCTCACTTTTTGATTTATCAGAAGTCTTAAGTATAACATTTTTCATACCCACTAAGAGTCAGTCTCCTTATTTCTCGGGGACATGTTCTCAATTCGCTCTGATTGCATTAACTAATATACGAGTTTAAAGAAATAATTGATACAAATCTGAACAATTTGTAACCAAAAAAAAAAAAATTCCTTTAACAATTCTGAGTGGCAATTATCATATTATGGTTGTATCAGTTTTTATGAAGAAAAAAAGGGCGGAGAGAGAATAGAGAGAGATTGGCACAAAAATCACGTTCGGATTGTTTATTCTGTGGAAACAGTATTGTTGGAGTGGGAAGGAGAGGAGAAAGTGAGACCTCGTGGCTGATAGATATATAGAGGCCCATATACGTAGCGAAGGCTAAATTAAGAGAAGAGAAGGAGAGAAAGAGAGAGGGAGAAAGAAGACAACCAACAACGTACACAAGTTGGAGGTTTGCAACTCAAAGTGTATAGAATTGCAAATCAGACACAGAGAGAGAGAGAGAGAGAGAGGGAGGGAGAGAGCCAACAAGGTAGACAAGTTGAAGGTTTGTGACGCTTTTAAGTGGAGGAGAGAAGCCCTTGTGTTATCTTCTCATCCCCTTTCCAGATACCCAGCTGCATACACACTTATATAAACATTATATATATATTTCAATCCATACCTTTATCTTCCTCTCTCTAGGGCTAGAGAGCCAGAGTCGAAATCTTCGTGTTGTGACCATCTGGCTCTCTAATGGCAAATTGGGTCTTATCAGAATGTGGTCTGAGACCACTTCCTAGAATCTACCCAAAACCCAGAACAGGTCTAACCTCCTTCAATACCAGCAACCCCTCCAAGATTAGCCTTTCACATTCAGATCTGGGTTGTTCTTCGTTTTCTTTGTCATGTGTACCTAGAGATAGAAATTGGGCATTAAAGGTGAGTGCGCCATTGAAAATACAATCCGTGGATAAAGAAGGTGAAGGAAGAGAGAGAATTAATGGTGTTAATGGGGTTGAAGACGAAGGTGAATTTGACCCAGGTTCACCGCCACCGTTCCGATTGGCCGATATTCGAGCAGCTATTCCGAAGCATTGTTGGGTGAAGGACCCTTGGAGGTCCATGAGCTATGTTGTGAGAGATGTTGTGGTAGTTTTTGCATTGGCGGCCGTGGCGGCTTATTTCAACAATTGGGTTGTTTGGCCTCTGTACTGGTTTGCTCAGGGCACAATGTTTTGGGCTTTTTTTGTACTTGGCCATGATTGGTAAGTTATTGCTCAATTTCCTTAAAGTTCACATTTTTCTTTGTATTTCCTTAGCTTTTTGTGTTGAATTTCATGCCCATTTGTTGGATTTTAATGTTAATTTTGTTTGGTTTTGAGCGGGCAGTGGTCATGGGAGTTTTTCAAATAATCCTAAGCTGAACAGTGTTGTTGGGCATCTGCTTCATTCTTCAATTCTTGTTCCCTACCATGGATGGTTTGTTCCTACATGCTCTGTTCAATCTAATTGATCTTATTAAGTTTGCTTGTTGTGAATTTTCAACATTAGGCATCAAGGGTTTATAATTAGTTACATTTGTGGTGAATGTTGCAGGAGAATTAGCCATAGAACTCATCATCAAAACCATGGACATGTTGAGAATGATGAATCATGGCACCCAGTAAGTCATTTTTGTGTTCTCCATTAAGAGAGTGAATTCTATAAATGATTATTTTTGATAATCATCGACTAAGACTATTATTTATGTAATTGGAATTGCAGTTGTCTGAGAAAATATTCAAGACTTTGGATAATGCTACGCGAATGTTGAGATTCACCTTGCCATTCCCACTGCTTGCATACCCTTTTTATCTGGTGAGCCTGCTAATTCTTACTAATTGAATAAATGTGATACGTACAAATCAAAAGTTTAGCTTTCTTAATGTTTCTAGTGTTGGTTTCTGGTTTACATTACAGTGGGGTCGAAGTCCTGGGAAGTCAGGCTCTCATTTCGACCCAAACAGCGATTTATTTGTACCAAATGAGAGGAAAGATGTGATCACCTCCACCGTTTGCTGGACTGCGATGGTTGCCCTGCTCGTGGGTTTATCCTTTGTGATGGGTCCTGTCCAATTGCTTAAACTCTATGGCATCCCCTACTGGGTTAGTCTGGTTTTGTTAATTTTTGTCGCCTTCTCTTACCCATCGATGAATTGTTTGTTTAGGTCTCTGTCATCTAATGTTTTAAGTTTCTCTTGTTCTCTTGGATGCAGATGTTTGTCATGTGGCTGGATTTGGTGACCTATTTGCATCACCATGGCCATGAAGAGAAACTTCCCTGGTATCGTGGAAAGGTATTGGATTGGATTTCTTCAGTTTTTGGATCAGATTTTTCAACCAGAACACCATCATGTTAAATAAATATTCCGAGAAGAACATAGTTTTTTGCCCTCTGTTAACCATTTTAGGCCTAAAACAGGAAGATACGATGTTTTAGTCAGTTTGTTAGCCACTAAGCAGGGCTGATAACTCCTATACTTTCTCGAGTAGCTGACTCAAATTTTTTTGTTATCATAATCCAACAGGAATGGAACTATCTGAGAGGAGGGCTTACAACGCTTGATCGTGACTATGGATGGCTCAATAACATCCACCACGACATAGGAACTCATGTGATTCATCACCTCTTCCCTCAAATCCCACACTACCACTTGATAGAAGCAGTAAGTATCCCTAAAACAAAACTTGGCTGCCATGAATAATTTCAAGTTTTCCATGACAAATTGAGTCCTTAAGGTTTGTGATTCTGAGGTCTATCAAATTGAGTCCTCATGGTTGTCATTCTGATTGTCGTAGACGGAAGCTGCTAAGCCGGTGCTCGGAAAGTACTACAGGGAGCCGGAGAAATCTGCGCCGCTTCCCATTCACTTATTGGGAATCCTTGTGAAAAGCATGAAACGGGATCACTATGTGAGTGACACTGGGGATGTTGTGTATTATCAGACCGACCCTCAGCTCTCTAGATCTCAAAAATCAGAATGAAGCTATGAAAAAGAGAATCCAGCTAGGTTACTGATTCTAGGTGACCAACGTGTGTCTTGACCATTGACACATTATTTCAAGCTTGAATAATGGTAATTTAAAGGTGACCACCATGTCACACAGAAACTGGTGTGGGATTTTGATGATATGGGCAAAAGAGGTTGCTGTAATTTAATTGGTAAGGAAAGTATTCAATTGCTCTCTCTCTCTCTCTCTCACCCACACACACACACGTTCATTTTTCAGAAGTGGGGCTGAAGTATGTGGATTGTGAAATTGGAAGGGACCTGTCCAAGCCACACCTTTGAGCTGAAGGAGGACCCAATTAAATCTCTCACATTGTAGCATAGTCATACATAATATATATATAATTACAAGATAAAAATCTTCAACATCGTCAGAAAAACTCTGAACCTATTATGAATTAAAGTTACGATTTAATAAGGTCTAAAAATTTGTAAATATTTTCAACTCGATCCATTGCGTCAGCTTATTTGGGTCGTAAACAAAAAAAATTACATGTACATGACCTCCTAGACATTCTAGGGTCACTAAGGTAAACTAATGTCATTTCTTTTGTCGTTGATGGTCTCACAAATGACAGTACACTGTGCATAGGAGATGTGGTTTAGAAAGTTCAGTTTCATTTTCGATCTGCTCATTATGATTGGGAAATACCCCCCAAGAGAGACAGATTTAGGGGCTGTTTGGTTTGAATTTCCAAAATAATTTTTTGTTTTCAAAATTTTAAAAGCAAAGAAGATGTTGTTTGGTTAATTTTTTTTGTTCTCTAATTTTTTGAAAATTTTATGAATTAAGAATGTTGTTCTCAATGTTTTTTGAAGAAAAATGAAAACACTGAAAGCAGGAGCATCTCCAAATTAATGAGGTCTCCATTTTGAGTTTTGTTGGAGACAAAAATTGGTGATTGGTTGTTCATCTTCTCCACCGCTGTTTCTCTCTCTCCCTCCCTCTCTCTAATCCAGCTTCAAATCTGTGTATATACACAGATTTGTGCGTCTGTGTGAGTGTGTTTGCGTGAGAACTCATATCCTCTCTCTATCTTTCTGCGCAACAAATCTGTGTGTGTATATATATGTATTGTGCGATGTATGTGAGTTTGTGGGTTTTGTGTGGGTGAGTGTGTGTTTGTGTGCGATGGCTATGTGTGTGTGTTTGTTTTTACTGGGTGAGAATACAATGGAGAGATGGAGAGTAGTTGTGTAAGAAGATTTGAAGATAATGGAGAGAGAGAGAGAGAGACAAAGACAAAGACAGAGATAATGGAGCATCTCCACTATAGACGTGACTACTTGACTAAGTTTTTTATTTTTATCATCAGTGATAAGTGAAAAAATTGGTTTTATGGATCATTATCTAAGCAGGTTTTACTATTTTCTGTTCTTTAAAACTATTTTCAAAACCGTATAATCAAACATGTTTTGTAATATAAAAATATCAAAAAATATTTTCTTATAATTTTTCTTAAAAATTGTTATTAGATACTGTTTTCAGAGATGCAAACCAACAGGGCTCAATTTCCGGTTGTTCATCAATAGCTGTCATGGTAGGTTGTCACGGGGTCAAAATTTTTACTCAAATTTTCTGCCGCGTGATGGCACTGAGATCTACACTCAATCTCAGTCAAGTACTCAAAATGCTCACAGAAATGCACACATGAACAGAGTAGGGACAGACAAGTAAGCTCATACACAACACACAAATTTTACAGGCTCAACTCTCTTGGTTGCACTACAGACCCAGACATGCCTAATTACAAGATTTTTATCTTGTAATTATATATATATATGATGTATGACTATGCCACAGTGTGAGAGATTTAATTGGGTCCTCCTTCATCTCAAAGGTGTGGCTTGGACAGGTCCCTTACAATTTCACAATCCACATACTTCACCCCCACTTCTAACAAATGAACATGTGTGTGTGTGTGTGAGAGAGAGAGAGAGAGAGAGATAATGGAGCATCTCCACTATAAATGTGATTGCCTAACTAAGTTTTTTTTTTTTTATCATAAGTGATAAGTGAAAAAATTGATTTTATGGATCATTATCTAAGCAGGTTTTAATATTTTCTGTTCTTTAAAACTATTTTCAAAACCATATAACTAAACATGTTTTGTAATATAAAAATATCAAAAAATATTTTTTTAAATATTTTCTTAAAATTTATTTTTGGATACTGTTTTCATATATGCAAACCAAATAGGGCTCAATTTCCGGTTGTTAATCAATAACTGTCATGGTAGGCTGTCACAGGGTCAAATTTTTTACTCAAATTTTCTGCCTTGTGATGACACTGAGATTTATGCTCAGTCTCAGTTAAGTACTCAAAACGCTCACAGAAATGCACACACGAACAGAGTAGGGACAGACAAGCAAGCTCACACACAACACACAAACTTTATAGGCCCAACTCTCTTGGTTGCACTACAAACCCAGACATGCCTATTTATAACATTCAGATTGGCGGTTACAAGCCCAACCGCCTAGACAACTGCATGAATTTCAAATTCGCCCACAAGCCTGCTAAGCATGGTCGACACATTCAACCACTTTTTCCATTGTGTTGGTCATGACGGAGGCAGTTGTAACTGTTGGTTGACCCAACTAGCAACTGTCTCCAACTTCCTTGCAAGTTGTGTGCACATGACAGAGACTCCCTCATGTTGTGCACCTGCCAGTAACGACACAGAACTACCACCATCTGCAAGGTATATGCCACAACGTCCTCACATGTTGTGCATGCGCCTTTCTTGTGAGCCCTCGGCATCTAATTGTCTTGCATTTGTACCTAGCTATGCCCAGCCCATGACTTGGTCTTTCAAGCTAGCATTGCCCCACAATTCAAGCCACCTAACTGCCTTGCTTGCATGCTTTATTGTGCTCATGTATGAGCTGCCTTCCTCAGCCATGCATGTACCTTCACCCAATTTGGCTAAGGCATGGGGACCTATGGGAGATGCAACCACATGCCAATGTCGGCAACGAGCTAAGGGGGTAACAAACCAACCCCACCAGAAAAGCTTGACATCCTTGTCAAGAAGTTGTCCCAATACTCCTTGATCTATTTCTCAAACTGCCAAAGAGTCACATTTTTTTCCCAACTTGCGTTTGCCTCAGAACCACATTTTCCAACGTACCAGAAAACCAGTCATGCAATTCTTCTTACTCTGACCCATGGTCCGGTGAGATAGAATCTTGTCGACCTCTTTGTCAAACTATTTCCTGATTATAGGCAGAGTTCTCCTGACTTGTTTCCTTCTAGCATTCAGCAAGTCTTCATGAAAAGGCTTCAGAAAACTCACGTAGTGAATATTTAGTCGATCAAGTAGCTTCAAGCGATGGGCAACATTTCCGACTTTCTTCATCACTTTGAAAGGGCCATTGTACTTAGGAACAAGCCCACAGTGTACTACCTTGTTGTTGATCCTTTTTTTATATCGCATAAGTTAATTTCAGGTTTTCAGCAAGACAAGATCACCAACTTGAAATTCTAGTGATTTGCAACCTTGATCAACATACTTCTTCATTCGACAGACAGCTTTGGCCAAGCTGTCCTTTGCCTCGTCAAGCAACTCCTGCTTGGAAAGGGAAAATTGATATGCAGTGGGACATTTTCCTCCGGTCCTCTGTTTCACCACTTCCTGAGAAGTAAGTAGCTGTTGTCCCAGAGCCAACTCACTGGAACTCATTCCTCTCACTGAAGATCTGTGCAAGTTGTAGCAAAACTAGGTAGTGTCCACAAGCTCTACCTAATTTTTCTGATTTGTAGTGACATAGTGTCACAGATAGTACTCCAGCAAGGCATTGATCCGCTTAGTCTTTCCATCAGTCTGAGGATGACTTGCTGTAGAGAACTTCAACTCAGAACCCATAAGATTAAACAACACCGTCCAAAATTTGCCAGTAAACCTAGTGTCGTGATCACTGACTATATCTTCCGGCAAACCAAAGTACTTCACCACGTACTTGTAAAACAGTTATGCAACAACATCCGCAGGGCAAACATGAGGTGCAAGAGTGAACATCACATACTTGGAGAAACGATCGACCACTACCATGATCAACACATGCCATCAACCTTTGACAGGTTGCATATAAAATCCATCGAAGCTGACTGTCACGGTCTGTCAGGAATGGGCAGTGGTTGAATCAAACCCGCTACCTTCTTCTTCTCAACCTTGTCAAGTTGGCACACGAGACAAGTTCTGTCATAAGCCTCAACATCATCTTTCATCTTGGGCCAGTAATAGGAGCGAGCCAGCAATGCAAACATCCTCTTTATTCTAAGATGTCCAGCCCACTAGGAGTCCTGTGTTTCACGCAGCAACTCCAGTCTTAGTTCCCCTCCAGTAGGAATATAGAGTTTGCGACCTTTGGCATACAACAGACCCTCATCAATCCAATATTAGCGTACCAAACCCTCGCTAACTTGCTACTTTAATTTGCCATAAGCAACATCTGTCTGGGCATGCTCTTTGACTCTTACAATGAAATCAATCTGCGCACTGGATAGTGCATCAATATAGTCATAGACCTCCTTCCTACTCAATGCTTCAGCAACTTGATTCTGTCTCCTGGATCTATGCACCCACACAAAATCAAACTCAGCAAAGAACTCTTGCCATCGGGCCTGCTTTGGGGTCAACTTCTTCTAGGACTTGAAATAGGTGTTCGCCACGTTGTCTGTCACGACGGTGAACTTCGTTCCCACCAAGTAATGCCTCCAAATTTCAAGGCAATACACCATAACAGTCATTTCCTTATCGTGTGCTGAGTATTGTTGCTTAGTATCTTTTAGTTTTTGGCTTTCAAAGGCAACAAAGTGTCCCTCCTGAACAAGGACTCCTCTAATGGCACGATCAGACGCATCTGTGTGCACTTCGAATGGCAGATCGAAGTCAACCAATCTCAGCACAAATACAGAGGATACTACATGCTTCAGCTTCATAAAAGCTGTCTGACAGACACTATTCTAGTTCTATTTTTGGTCTTTCTTTAGCAAGTCAATCAGTCAGGACATTACACTTCTTAAAATATACCTCGATAAACTTGCGATAATAATTGGCTAGGCCAAGGAACGACCGCAGTTTAGATACCTTAGTTGGTGCAAGCCAATCGACGATTGTCTTCATCTTCCTTTTATCCATTCAGATCTAGCCTTTGCTAATCTAGTGTCCCAAGAACATCACTTCTTAGCGACAAAATTCATATTTCTCCTTCTTAACGTACAGTTGGTGCTCTCCAAGCCGTGAGAACACCGCCTTAAATGGTCTATATGATCCTCCAACGTCTCACTATAGATCACAATATCATCTAAATAAATAATCACAAAGACATCAATATACTCATAAAAGACATCACTCATTAAATTGCAGAAAGTTGTCAGGGTATTGATAAGCCCAAACAACATTACAAGGAACTCAAAAGACCCATAGTGCGTCATACACGCAGTGTTAGGCTTATCTCCCTCTGCAATCCTAACTTGCTAATACTCAGTCCTTAGATCCATCTTTGTGCAGAAGGTTGCCTTGAAAAGCCTATTGAATAGATTAGCAACATTCGGAACAAGGTACTTGTTCTTGATTATCACCTTGTTCAAGGCCCGATAGTCGATGCACATGCGCAGTGAACCATCTTGCTTCTTCTGGAACAGGATAGGGGCTCCCTAGACACCTTTCATGACTTCATACTGTCAGAATCTGGCAACTCGTTCAACTGCTTCCTTAATTTTGCTAGTTCTATCAGCGACATCTAGTAAAGGGCACGAGCTGGAGGCTTAGCACCAGACTCCAACTAGATCTTGTGGTCAATTTCACGTCTAGACAAAAGGCTTTTGGGGAGTTCTGGGGGCATAACATCAGCAAATTCCCCCAAAACATCTGCCACTACATTATGCACTTCAACCAACACGTCTGGTTTAATCTCCTCCAAAGCTGCGAGGTATGTCATCTCGCCCTTCCTCAGCCCAGCTTTCATTTGTATAGTGGACAACATTTCCATCTTTCGCTTGTCTTCTTTCTTGCTTTGATCTACCATGATTGTAGGCACAAAGTATGGTGCTTTCTCATCCGAAATCAGCACCCCATTCAAGTGTGGCATCAGTGCCACCTTTGCCTTGATAAAAAACTCATTCCTTATGATGACATCAAAGTCATCTAAGGGTATAGCCATCAAGCTCACATGACCTTCCCACAAATACACATTTAGGCGTATTTTTGTTGTGCCATGCACTGACATTGCTTCAGAGTTTACCGTCTTAAGCTTGCTAGCATTTTCTGAAAATTGTAGGCCAAATTTTCCCACTCTTTCTAGGCAACGAAATTATGGGTGGCTCTCGTATCCACCATGACTAGAACTTTCTTGCCATTCACCCAGGCCTGTACAAACATTATACCTTTGCGGGGTTGCTGAACTTTGCCACAGTGATTGCATTCAGCAACTATAGAGGGTTAACTCAGGTGGGGCATTCATCATCATTGTCATCCTCACTTGCAGCAACGAGAGCACTCAACTTCTCTCGCTTGGGACAGTTTTTGACATGATGGGGGCCACAACAGAGAAAACAGTCATAATCAAAGACTTTCTTCTTCTGGCTGTTGTCTGACTTTTTAGGGTCAACAACGTTATTCTTTTTCTTCCAATCTACCTTTTTTACGTCTTTGGAAGTACTAGCTTTCTCTTTCTTGATGCCACCATTCTTCTTTTTCTTCTCAGAAGGGCCTTAACTGCCCCCCATTTTGAAGTTAATAAGGTCGTTTGCAACAGTGATAGCAATGGGCAAATCACGTACCCCCTTACATACGCAACTCGGCCTGTGCCCAGGCTTGCATCCCGAGCATGAAGTTAAAGAGTTTGTCCTCTTTCAACATGTTCTTGATGTCCAACATCAATGAATTGAACTCTTTCATATAATCATGAACAGTTTCGGCGTGCTTTAATTTCTTGAGCAAATCCCTAGCAATCTAGGTCGTATTGCTAGGGAGAAACTGATCCTTCAATTCCTTTTTCAGGGTCTCCCACGTCTCAATCTTTGCACGCCTAGCAGATGTATCATCCTCGTTCCGGGTTTGCCACCATAACTTGGCGTCACCAGAAAGATACATACTAGTAATGGTCATCTTCTCTCCAGCAAGCACATGGGCAGCTTTGAAGTACTGTTCCATATCTCATAAGAAATTCTCTAGATCCTTGGCATTTCGAGTGCCTCTGAAAGCCTTTGGTTTTGGGACCTTGATTTTTGAAGACTTCTCGCCCATATCAGGTCGAGAATTTATGGCCCTCTTCACCAGGGATATTTTGTCTTCAAGTTCCTTCAAATTGGTTTTGACAGCGTCGGTGAGGGACAAAATGTCCTCCGTCATCGTTGCAAGTATCGCATCGTTGTTGGCCACATAGCTGTCAGGGGCCATATGTAAACTATCAATCTGAATAGCGTGCTGCTCTATCTGTATAGTCACGCTGGTTGCAGCATCACTTTCAGGGGCGCCCAAAAAATCTTACGAGTCACAAGTTCTCACAATTCAGCAACGTTTTCACCAGCTATGGTCGCAAACTGAAGCTCTGATACCAACTATCACGGGGTTAAATTTTCACTCAAATTTTTTGCCTCGTGATGACACTGAGATCCACACTCAGTCTCAGCCAAACACTCAAAACGCTCACTGAAATGCACACACGAACAGAGTAAGGACAAACAAGTAAACTCACACATAACACACAAGCTTTATAGGTCAATTGACCAAACCTTTTCTTTCTCAACAAAGCTTAAATGAAACTCAGCTTAGGGTCTGTTTACAAAAACGTGTCAAACTCTCTTGGTTGCACTGCAGACCCAAACATGTCTATTTATAACATTCAGATTGACAGTTACAAGCCCAATCGCCTAAGCAACTGTATGACAATTCAAATTAGCCCACAAACCTACTAAGCATGGCTGACACCTTTAGAGGCAGTTGCAACTATTGGCTAACCCAGCTAACAACTGCCTCAAATTTCCCTGCATGTTGTATGCTCATGACACAGATTCCCTCATATTGTGCACCTGCCAGCAATTGTATAGAACTGTCACCATCTGCAAGGCACATGCCACAACGTCCTCACATGTTGTGCATGCGCCTTTTTTCTGAGCCCTCAGCATCTGATTCTCTTGCATTCGTACTTAACTATGGCCAGCTCATGGCTTGATCTTTCAAGCTAACATTGCCCCATAATTTAGCCACCCAACTATCTTGCTCGCATGCTTTCTTGTGTCCACGTGCCCATGCAAAAGCTGTCTTCCTCATCTATACATGGGGCCTCATCCAATTTAGTTAAGGCATGGGCACCTTTGGACGAGGCAGCCACATCCCAATGCCAATAACGAGCTAAAAGAATAACACTAGGCAATTACACCTAGCCTCTCACAAAAGTTATATGTATTTAACAATCTCATATCATTTAATTTCATTTTTTTATTCCATTCGCAAAAGTCTTACATAGTAAGTCAAAATCCAATTTTCATATTATATGTGTGTGTGTGTGATCAACTTCCACAAGTTCGAACTCGCTCATACAACATTTCACATTTCCCAAGGGCATATTTATGTACGTGCATGATATATTCTATTATATATCCCTTTTTTTTTTAATGAACCGGTAAAGGGTACATACCAAACTCCCGCTTCCCTAGAGAAAAAAAAGAAGGAAAAAGTGAACATTTCTTTATTGAATCAGTGAAGGTCTTTGTAATCAAGTATTACAAGCCACAACAGACTACTGCTCGAAACAACAATTTATATGTATTCTAGATTCACCAAGTTTTCTTGGCAAATTTGGGTTCTCACGATCGATCAATATTGTACGGAATTTACTGCACTCATGAAGGATGAAATCCGTAACTTGTCCTTTTGAATTCCATCTGGACCACAAATGCCACTGCTGACATCAATGCCATCCGGTCTAAGAGTAGAAAGAGCTTCGCGTGCAATTTCAGGGTTAATCCCTCCGGCCAAGAGCCACCCATATTTACTTCTAATTGGTGGTAGCTTGAACTGGGACCAATTGAACCCTTTACCACTGCATGCATGTGTGATAATAAAGTGAGTTATAACAATTGCATAAGATGTACAACAGCAGGATTTCAACCAGTTGAGCTCAACTCAACAAATGTCCCAACATTTTTGAGTTCAAACACAGTTGAACGTGAACTGAAAAGGGATACTTTGACACTTGTGTTTAATGACAAAGTGAACATGTTAATATAATGCATGAAAAGTAAAAACTGAAAATGCTGATTTAGATCAGATATTGGACCCAAAATTAAATTGTCCTGTGTCTCCAACAGTCTATCATAGGACTGAAAGAGAATACGCTATGCAGAGAATTCGAAATGAGCACTCAGTATGAGCCATGTGCACGGAAATCATCAAAGGCAAAGCTAATTCTTAATATTTGATGAAGCCAGACTCTAGTTCCCAACATAGCATTTGGAAGTGGAAAAAGGGGAAGCAGAAATGGCATTCCTTAAATATGAAATGTTATGAAATATTAATCCATGAATAATTCTTACTCAAAGAAGGATTTTGAGGTTGACTGTGAACAAGAAGAAGATGATGATGATGTATGAAGATACAAGGATAGTGTACGGTTCCTAAGCAATTGAAATTTGAAAGGGAAAGAACAAAAATAAAAGGCACACAATTCAAGTTTAAAATATTTTACTAGGACTAACTGTAAAAAGACCATGTTCTGGTATTTAAGTTAGTCATATGAGTCATTTGTGGAAAGAAGCCCTGCTTTTGGCCTCAACTCCGACAAAAATGGGTCTAGAAAAAACCACATAATTCCCATACATCTCAGCTTACTTTAGTCTTGTGTTGCCTAGCTACTTTTCATATATTTCCGGTAATGGGTGGTCATAAATTCATTACGTAGACAAAAGCACTGAGTGCAAAACTGGAACAATTGCTTGATTCAATTCCATTGTTAAACGTCAGGATGCCAATGTGGTGAGTATGAATGAGGAACATACAAAATGAGGTTCAAGAATGAATATATATGAAGAGGAGCAAATTTTTACCTGCCACCTTTTGCACCGTCAACAAGAATCCAATCCACCAAAGAACATTCTTGATCAGAAATATGGTTCAAAATGCTTCCGTCTTCATTGGCATGAAGAACAAATATTACACAGTTTTCTCTCACTAAAATTGGAAGAGCAGCACGAGAACCATCTCCATGAAGCTACATCACTTCAACATGCCACAACCTGAATGAAAAGCATGACACTCTGGAATTTAATGATGTTAGAAACTTACCTGCACAAGTTCAAGGTCAGCTGCATCAGAAGCTCTTGATATTGTCTTGGCATCATCATCCAAAAATACCCCAACAGGTTCTGCTCCATATTCCCGTGCAGTTCTTGAAATTTCCTTTGCTACAGCAAGTGAAACAGAACGTTTTGCGTTGGGCCAAAGAATCATCCCAATAAAGTTAGCTCCAGCTTCTGCTGCCCGACCAGCATCTCTGGCTGTTGTAATTCCACACATTTTAACTAAAGGCCGACTTTCTTCATTATCCCTCTTAATGGGGGAAACTTCTGCCGACTGATTTAACATGCATGTTATTGTATTCTGTGTAAAAGATCCAATCCTTGACAAATGCATTTCTCTTGCTAGTAGACCTGTACATAAATGCCCCAGAAGAAACGGATTTGAATTTCTAGGAACACCTTAATCAATTGCTTCTGTGCGTAGCACTTATCAATACCAATAAAGAGACGGTATTAAGAAGGTAGAAGATAATCTCAAGAGAGTTCCTATGTTCACGAATTGAGAAGAATAGGATTAATGGTTGGTGGCCTGTTCTCAAGAGAGTTCCTATGTTCACGAATTGAGAAGAATAGGACTAATGGTTGGTGGCCTAGAGTAATTTGATGGAAAAGAAAATGGAAATATACACAAAACTGAAACTCAAATTAAGTTTTTTCATAGAAAATTTCCTATCTTCTTTGTCGTCAGCTATCGTATGGAGTGTGTCAAGAAATTTACAAATTAGACTGAACTTCTATATGAGAAGTGGTCAAAAGGTTAACGTTATCCAATAAATTGCCACTCAACATTGTGCGGAAGAAGATCTCATAAAATTGGTAACTGCACAAAGAGGTGTGAGAAAACCACCCATAGCAGAGGAAATGTATTGGAGTATGGAATATGCACCCCTGAGTACGTACACTGACATATAGCGTTTCCTAGTTCCAGTGAAATTGAGGGAGACAACAAGCTAACATCAGGAAAAGCAAACTAAAATCTATGCAAGCAAGCTCTATATAAAAGCAAGTACGAATAAGAAACATATAATTTTGACATAATGTAGCGTAACATCAAGACTACATTTTATTTACATAAAAGACCATCTAAAGATATTCATTCTCAATTAACTTCCTAGGTGCATCATTTAGGTGAAACTGCCTCCAGCAGCAATGACTGATCCAAATGCACACAAGGACATTAAACATGTCCCATAAATATGACAATAAGAACAAGGATTTAAGGTGTCATTTGGCAACATTTTTGTTTTTGTGTTTTCAAAAAAAATAAAAAAACAAAGACAAATTTTGTTTTGTTTTGTGGTAAATGTCGAAAAAGAGAAAACATGTTTGGGATCATTTGTGTTTATCAAATTATGTGAATAAAAATTAAAAAGATGTTTGGTAACCATGTCAAGTTTTATCCAAGTTATACACTCATGAATTTCAACATATCCACAAATTCACCCACAATATATTCAACATATCCACAAATTCACCCACAATATACACTCACACAGACTCTGTTGACTCAACACACACACACATAGAACACACCCACAGACAGGGACAAAGGGAATTTCTTTAGGGGAAAAGGAAAAAAATAGGGGGTGACTGTGATGGATCTGCACACAAAACACAAATTTAGCACACCAGATCGTTGGAGTCTTGGAGAAGAGACGATCATCGGAGAAGAACCAAGAACCCAGTTAGACAAGAGGAGAAGAGACGATCGCCAGAGAAGAACCTAAATCACCAGAGAAAAGGAGAAGAGACTATCACTGGCGATCAATCTTCGTTGAATAGAGAGAGGCGATTGAAAGAATAGATAAGAGAGACAGAGCGGCGATAGAGAGTGAGAGGCAATGGAGAGAGAATGAAATGGGTTTAAATACTTGACCAAAAAAATACCCCTTTTGTTGCTAACAAAGCTCAAAATCTAGATCTCATTAACTTCCCACCAAACCTCGCACGCGTTTCTGTTTCACTTGTTTCTTGGAACATCTTTTTTTTGTTTCTTGTTTTTTGGGTCTTGTTCTCAAAACAATTTATCTAATATAAAACAGAAACACAAACTCAAACGCGTTTTTGTTTTTAGTTTTTGCAAAAAGTGAAACAAAAACAAAAAAAATATGAAACAAAAACACCAATCAAACGCACTCTAAATTTTGTTTCAAAATAGCCGAAACGTTTCTATTTCCATGGATACCAAAACGAATCAGCAATTGAGTATCAAAATCTATCTTTCAAGGTGTTTCAGTATATTTCGTTAGGTTTTTGATCAATCTTTCGGAATGTTTCATAAATAAATTTTTAATTTTTTTCTTTGTTTTCATAATGTCTCATAACACAAATGAAGTGCACATGAACATCATATGAATGAATCATAGTACAAAAATACATCAATTCTGTTGTTTTTGTAGGTGTGTTTATTTGATGAAAATGAAGTATTTACATTAGTTGAAATGACTTCCGCCTCATATTAACCTTTTTTTTCTCCAACTTGATGTTATCTAGTACAAAAATGGATGTCAAAAGAATAACTTTGCTCAATTAATCTATTAGTAAGCTTATCTATATAAAGAAGAGATTTTGATTTATGTTTCCACGTTTCCAAATTTTTTCTCTAGTTTCACTATATTTCCAAAATGTTTCCATTTTCGAGTTGACTGAAACTATATACCGGAACACATTTTTGATAAGAATTATATATTGAGTTAGCAATCTTCTTTTCAATGATGAATGTTCTCTAAATCTTAAGTTTCTACCTTCATGGAAAAAAACTCAAATTCTTAAGCGTGCTCAATCCATTAAGAAAGGAAACAAACATAACACTCTTCATAAATGTACTAAGTATGATATGGCCTGGAAAGTCCTTATTTGAAAGGTCTAGTATATCTATATTTAAAAAGGGAAAAAAATTTGGGTAAGTAAAAGGGAAACATCAAATGAGAAAAAAATGCTAAGAACCAATAGTGAACACACTCGAAGGGTAACAGAAACAAAAGTACAAAATCTATGTCAAGATTCTAAGAGAAATATATCATATAAATAATTTCTATATACTCAACTGAACTAAACTCAACAAACCCTTGTACCAATCCAATATTGTTGAATGTTGAGGTTGACTATACAAATCATGTTTCTTATAAATGATGCACTTTCATAGATAAAGAGAGAATTACACAAAGAAAAAGAATGACAAGAAGTCTACCCACAAAAAAGATAGATTATAGAATATAGTAGTTGTTGTATCTCTAGTTTCGATAAGAAGTCTGTAGTAGGTTATAAAATATGGACACGCGTCCTCACTATAGACGGACATATGGCAAAGCAACAGAGGGGCCAAAAGCAGACATGGCAAGACAGGTCCACCCTCGAATGGCAACGACCTTGATAAATAGCCAATAAAACTAAGGAGGACGATCAACAATGCGGAGAGACAAGACACCTCCTCCTCACTGTAGACACAATAAATGGATCCTTATCCAAAGGACAAGAGTGGGACCATGAGGGTCTAGGACAACCCTGACACGACCTAGCTAGTTTGTTCTCCCCCATCGCGGAAATAAATACACACAACTAGAATCCCATGGATAGCGAAGAGTGTATCCCTAAAAAATCCTTAAGGGGTTTATTTTGGAATAGGACACTTAGAGAAAACCTAAAACTTATTAAAAGCCCCTAGTGGTCAAGTCAACCAATGGTATACCATTGCTCGATTAACCCAAGAGATCAAGAGGAGAGGTCCCACCTTAGGGATAAGGAAATTTGACCCTTCTCAAGGGAAAATTGTAACACCCAGATAAATTTGAATTTTTATGAAAAATGGCAAAATGGTAATTTGTCAATATAGTACGAGTTAAAAATCTAAATTGTTTTACAACTCGGATGACAAAACGGACCTCACTGTTGGATTCGTCTTGTGAAATCTAATTATCCAGTTAATTTTTGTCAAATTCCAAGATAGTCGAACTGTTTACGTTTTACGAGACGATCAAGTGTCGCATGACCTAAAACTAAAATATAGAATAAAATTTTAAAAGTTGAAAATAATTTAAAGAAAGTTCATGTAAAAATATTTTGAACTTGAAGCGGGACGAAATTTAATTATTTTGGGACGAAATTCGACCCGGTAATGGGAGACGTGTGGCGCGATGAGGACCAAACATTTAAAGGTTATAAATAGGAGAGAAAAATCAGATTTCTTCCCATACCCATTAGATTATCAAAAAATAGAAAGAAGAGAAGGAAGCTCTACCTTCTCTCTACGATCTACGTTGCTCGAATCGACTCAAGCCAAGAACAAAAGTTATTCTACTCGTCGAGGGTTACAAAACCATACAAAAATGACGAATTTTACCAAAAATTCAAAAACAGAATTTTAGGAAAATTAAAGGCTAAGGCTTCACTGGTGTTCTTGAAGGCTTTCTACTTTTGTTTTTTCGCTTCAAGAGGTAGAGTTTTCTCCCTAATTAGATTTATTTCCAACTTATAGTGATTATATGAAATGGTTAGGGTGTTAGAAGTATATAACACTTACCTATTGTTGTTAATTTGAAGAAATGAGTATTGAAAATGGATAAAATCAATTTTAACATGAATTGGTATTTAGAAATTACTAACTTGTAAATTGCTTGAAAAATTGTGATATGTGGGAATACTATGTATTTATATTATGCCTTGGAGAATTAAGTGTGTTATTTGCACAAAATTATGTGGTAACATGCTTGAAAATTGTCTTTTGGTATAATGTTGATATATGCTTAGTAATGTATTGACATTAAGATGATTTTATGGTAATTATATACATATGATATAATTAGGGGTGTTCAAATTTTTGATTGGCCGCAATTTCCTATCTTACCCGACCCTACCCTACTGAACAGCTAGCCACAAAAATCGAGTAGGAATGCGAAATACCCATCAATTTCTGCAATCCTACCCTATCCTACCCTTAAAAAATATATTTAACTTTTTTATATTTTTTTTAGTAATTGTAAGAGTATTTGTGTAGTATAATTTATATTATAACATTGTTATTGTTGTGGATGTTTGAGTTGCGAAAAAATAGACTTATTTTTTATACAGGTTACATGATTTGTGGTGAACTGGTGATCTATTGGAACAATTATGATTTTAATGTGTTTCATATTGTTTAAACTTAATATAATTGTTATTGTATTTGTGTAACAATTATGATGGATTGATGTTCATGCTTTCTATGTTTTATTGTAATTGTTGTTATAGTTGTTTTAAGTTATAGTGTTATTGATTTATTGTATTGTTAAATTGGTGCATGTTATTTAA